TTTGTGAATTACTAGACATATTTGAAGACGGGATGTTCTGAGAATGTATACTGTAGTTACTAACTGCCAGCACACAATAATTTCTTCCTTGTTAAACTTAGTTAAACTTTTTCCGAATGATTCATTCAGATCATTTGATCCGTTTTCGAAATATGTGGTCTGGGACGTTTTCCTTTAAATGTTCATCAGATCCACACAATGCTGCGGATCGTCACAAAGACCTTTACAAAGTATTATAGAATATATATATATATATTTTTTTTAAGAGATATAATATTTATGTCTGGGTCATCAAAAATTAAAAAGACCCTCAAATTTACACCCTCCACTGGATCGTCACTAACACATAAAAATTTCTTTCAGATCAACTGACCGGTTTTTTAAATATCCGGTGTAGACTGTTAGACCTTAAATCACTTTAATTGGTCCTCACACGTACACCCCACCATAAATTGTCACTAAATATTAGAAGGTACGTCCTAGATATCCGGCATATGCGTCGGCAAGGCACGGAAACATTTTAAGCATGGGAAGTGACGGCCAGAAATTAAAAAAAAAAACAGTGCAAAAGATAGGAAAAATATATGCAAGAAAAAAGAAAACAAAAATCAGAACAAAAACAAAACCTTTTCCCAGTACTGCTGGGAAAAGCCAGTTATAATTAGATTTGAACTCGTCACTAGGTCGAGTTAGGTGAAAGCAAACAGACAGCAATTTTGTACTCTACCCATTTTCAAATTGCTCACCATAGGCATGCTATACAAATACTTTACCATTAGACTTTGCACGTAAAATTTTTTTAAAACAAAAACAAAGGTGATGAAAACATTATTTGCTTCCAACTATTATAAATCAGTACAGTATTATGATAAAATATTATCGATTTCTGCGTTTTGTCAAAAAACGATTTTTAATGGCTTATTTTGAGTTTTTAATTTAACCTTTAACGAATGTGACGCACAGTGGATATAAACAACATTACCACCCCTCTGTAGGCCTATTGTATAGCCTAGCGTATTGGCTACTGATAAACGACCATAGAAATCAGTCTTTTGTTGCCAAACATTGCCTCGTTGTGTGGCTGCAGCAACAAACATTCGAACTTTGTTAGCAATCATCAGTTCCCAAAAAAAAAAAAAAATAAAGAACAAAATGGACCCAAGCCGTATCAAAAACCAGAGTACAATTCCAGGGTTCGATACATTCAGTGTTGTGCAGCGAGCAATTTGGGGTGTGTATAAAACGAAGACCGAAAACCGAAGACCCAAAAATGAAAACCCCTACTTTTTCTCTTTTATTTTGAGGATAATACACAAGACCCCTATTTTTATGTTTATTTTAATGAAAATACACCAGGCTGTCACATAATAAAATTTACGAAATTTTTTGGATGTCTGTTTGTGAAATTTTGAAGTTTCTTCGTTTTATAGACATTATGGGTGCCTACAAAACGAAGACCGAAGACCTAACAAAGGGAAGATCTCCAATTATTTCTCAAATATGTTTATTGAAAGTATTTTAAAATCATCATAAAACAGTTGCAAAGTACCTATTTCATTATTTCATCGGAATAAAATGAGGAATAACAAGAAATACTTAAGGGTCTTTGTTTTATAGACACCCACAGGACACAAACGAAGACCAAAATTTGTTTCTCTTTTTGTTTTAATGACACTACACCAGGCTGTCACAAAATCATAATTACGAGATTATTTGAACATTTGTTTGTGAAATTGTCCAGGGTTTTCTTTTTATAGACACCCTATATTTTCTTTTTCTAGTCCTACGATGGCAGCCAGTTTCACGGCCAAGCACGTATTGCAGTCTGCAACTCTCAATGAAAGTAAAGGTAGTCCACTGTACGCGAAGGCCATTGCCCGGAATCTGGAGTCAGTTTAATGATTTTACTATTTGTTCCAGTTCATAGGACTTTTTTTTTTAATTACAAGATATAAAAAATCCAAAGCATTAAAATCAGTATTTTTGTTACGTGGAAGACAGTAATACAAATCATCTTTTATTTCATTTTATTTCTATTATTCGTCTACAATATGCAAAATACAAAATCAAAGAAACTACCGGTATATCAAGTATGTAAAAAAATGTACATTATATGAGAAATATATTTGATAAACCGGAAATGCTAAAAGAGAAGCATAGGCCTAAATGCAATCTTTACAGGTCGTTGTTTGTTCTAATATTTATTTTTCTACACTGATTTTCCGTAAAACTAGAAGATGATCGTAGGCTTTGTTTCCACAGCACTTATTATCTGATAAATTATCAGGAAACGGCCATTTTGTTATTTTTCACTGCGGAAACGAGGCTTACATTATCCGATAAATTTTCGTATGAGAATCAGTTAATTTATCAGAAAAAGCTCCTAATGCGAAAAAGAAAACCTTTGACCGATGTCAAATCACGGCCATGCAAAGAATTATATTGGGTAGGCCTAGTAGGTACCTCGTTTTTAAGGCAACTTGTAGTTAGTAGGGCTTAGGGCCTAGGCCTGGTAATCAGACACTTCATAATAAAAAGTGAGTACATTGTTCGTGCTCATTAAATGTTAAACAAAAAAACAAAAAAAAAACCCCTGAAAAGGCTGCGTTCGATGTCGACGGTGCCTGCCTGGGCTTAGGTCTACCCCTGCCTAGTTTGTTGTACCGTAAACACACCAAACAAAGCTAGCATTCATTGTCGTCTTTTTCTCACTCCCTATAGCATAGAAGAACAATGAAACATCATTGAAACAGTACATTTCCTGGAGCGAAATAGTACCCTACAATTACTTTCTGGGCATAGGCCTATCAATTTCGTAAACACATTGCATTGTTGTCCATAATTGCATGGTGGGATAAAATATTTGGATGGAATTTGAAGATAAATTAATCATTGGAGAAATTGTAAGTGCTGCGCAAAAAAGGCCATAAATGTTCAATTTAGTGTAGGCCTATAAATTACATTTTTTAAATGTGCCTACTATTGCAGTTAATGCAAGTTACTACGGTATCAAAAATGTGAAAGTCAAAATTTAACACAATCATTAGCATTGGCGTCGATCGCTGGGGGACAGAAGGACACGTTCCCCCCACTTTTCAAAGTAGGGGGGACATCATATCAATTGACCCCCTCGACACTTCAGCAATTATTTATGATTAAAACCTCACTTTGCGAGTGAAAGAACAAGTGCGGTGCGTATTTCTGGACCAAAACAGAGTAAAAACGCGCAGTTGTTTGTACATTTCGTAACCATCTCAGTAACTACTCCATCGATTTTAGGGGTGCAACGGTTAATATCAGAGACTAAATTTATTGTGAAAAAAATGTACTGTACGTTGTTAAAATTGTAGTATTGCGACTAAACTATTGTGCGTGGATATATACCGCCCTAATTTACGATATCTATTATATTCTATTTTGTTAAGGGATAACTTTGAGACAAGTTTTTAAACTTCTAATCTGACTCCTAAATCGTAATTTATAGCTATTAATTGTTTACTTTCACATGAATATCGATTTGAATAAATGTTACTGTTACTGTTATCAGTGGTGTATCCAGGAAACCGAAATAGAGGGGGCTGGGGGACAGGACAGCAAAAGACTTTCACAGTTTGGGAAACCAGAGCACCTCAGCCCCAACATGGTTTGGGCTGAGGCCAGAAAATTTATGATTATGACACCTCTGATGGCCGGAAATTGTATTCTCAGAACTAAATTCTAATAATTTCCCTTTTTTCCTCCGCCATTTTAAAAATAATTTTGAAACATTTAGGGGGGGGCGGATCGGCCCCATTATTATAACGTCGTTGCGAGATTGCGTCAACATAACATTGGAGTTTGTAAACGTGTGGTATCCTTAAATAAATAAATCGAAATAGATAGACATGTCCGTGTCAAAGGCTGTATAATTAGTGTTTAATAACGGCTATATACAATATTATTGACTATAATTTGTTGAAATTAGGAAAAACCGGAATCTATGTATGCAGGTAATATTAAACACACCCACTTTTTTCTCGTCGGGGACATCAGCCCCCTCCCCCCACCCCAGGTCCGGGACCTGGGCACCATCACTGATTTCGTCCCACACCCCACCCTCCCCCCACCCCACTTTCAGCCATGAATCGACGCCCATGATCATCAGGCATGTTTCTTCATTCAGTTTTCACCTTTAATAGCAAGAAGCTTACCTTCTAAACAAACGATGCTGTAAAATCTCTTAACATTTTATTATTTTATTCACCCCAGCCGTAGCACCATATATACAATATCAAAACTTAAGATGTCTAGGAATGATTTTCAAAGGTATTTTGACAGATGTCAAAATACAAATACAATTACATCAGATAAATTATTTTTATAGAACATAGGAGGGATGGACAAGTACCTAAAAATCCCGCATTCAACTCAGCCTTACCTGGGTCTGAGGTTAAAACGGTTAGGCTAATCTAGATGCATGGAATGGAAGTTTCACTTTTAGACCTACGAAAATGGTTTTCATGATGTTCAATTTTTAACAATAATCATCTGAATTATTTTGCTTAAAAAGTGCAGAACAGAGGAAAGTTAAGAGCAATGACCACACCTGCCTTAGCCCCTAACTTGGTTGGGGCTAAAGACATGATTATACTGTAATGGGTCTACATTATTTTGTAGGTCAGCATTATTTATATTTGTAAAATGGGCCCATAAGTTTATATTTGGCCCATAATATTGTTTACGCCTAAAACGAGTCCACATTAATTTTGTTTAAGACGTAACTTATGAAAACCGAAAGGTCCACTGATTAATCTCAGATAAGAAAGTATAATACATACTCCAAGTATTGAAATACACGCCATCGTGTTGGGATTCAATATTTCGACATTAATTATGTCATCATCAGGAATGATGATGACATAATTAATGTCGAAATATTGAATCCCAACACGATGGCGTGTATTTCAATACTTGGAGTATGTATTATACTTTCTTAACTTATGAAAGTAATGGGTATTCTACGTTATTTAATAATTAAAAAAAATAATAAAATAAAAAATGAAAGAAAGTAAATAGAGTAAAAACAGTCCCGATTGTCCTAATAGCTGTATTGTTGTGCATAATCCGCATGAAGCTATTGAACTACTGTATATACTGTATACAATAAGAGCCAGAATTAAAGAACAATGGTTATGCGTGCAAAGTGGCTACCGCTCATTAGTTTCGATAACGTCTGCTGTTTTTCACAAATTAAAAACATTTAGCACAGTACAGATTTAACATCGACTGCCTATTGGCCTACTCACGATTTGGAATGAAATCACCAATGGCCATAAGTTAAAGCTTTGAATTTTATATTCAGAAGTAAAGAAAGTAAAACATTCAAGCCTGTAGCCTGATGACAAAGCAATCGAAGCATGGGATAGAAACATAACAGAAACATTAATAGTAGCCTAGCAATAATAACTTGTTTTGGATTTATGGTTTTCGTCCTTGACTTTCTGTGCCAACAATATTCACGGTCACATGACTGCGGTCATGCGCTAGTCCCTCTGTAATGTTATTTCAAAACATCTGAGCATTATGAAACAAAAAACGCTACAGCCAGATTTGGAAACTGCTTTTTGCAGCAGGTAGGCCTACAAAGAGATATGGATGGATATCTATAGAATGATAATTCGCTGCTGCTTCCATTATTTTTTTGGACTAAATATATAATTCGTTGATGGCCTGTATAAAGTTTCAGCAGATGTTATGTGAGTAAGGTTATTATTAACTATAACGTTGTGCTATACAATACAATAGACCTGTAATAGGCCTACTGTATTTGTACTGTATATGTAAGACGTTAGTTTAGTCAGTTCGAGTGGATGGATGGTTTGACTAAAACTGTCTGTTATTTGCGTAGCTATTGATGGGATGTTTGTCAGTGGTGAAATTTTGCAGACGGGGTTCAGCAAGTCCGACGTCGGGTGTGGGGTGGGGAGTGGGGGACCAAGACCACCTAGGACACAATCAAAATAAGCTGTTTGGATCGACAAAGTCGTAGTTGTAGTCTTACAACCTCGTCGTGGCTTCGGACAGCGAAGGTCCGTGGTTGCCCGACATGAAGTTGACCAGTTTCCTTCTACCCACCGCTTGCGCCGCCTCTGCTATTGTTGTGGTTTAATTTAAGGGTTGATCTAAAAAGAGGTATTTACATGCTAATAAATTATTTATTTGACCGTTAAGATTGTGTAATATCTTGCCTTATTGTAAGTAAAACATAGAACACATTTGGTTGGTTTTTTTTTGGTTTTTTTTTGTTTTTTTGGGTGGGGGTGGGGAGATTTTTTCCTCCGTAAATTACTAGGAATATTTGAAGACGTATTTGTTCTGAGAATGTATAGTTATAACTAGTACCACAGATCCAGAGGTCCTTACAGACTCGTTTAATGAACACTGAGTAACCACAAACACACTTATAATTAGCCTATCATCATCATCATCATCATCATCATCATTATTATCATCATCATCATCAATAAATCCATTTGTTGGGTCATGCACACTGTTATAAGAACATGACAATGTTATTTATTGTTTTAATCAGTACAGATGCCCCAACAAAATTGTATTCATTTTTTTATTTCGGTCTTACCTTAATCTTACTTACTTTTAATCATGTTTGTTAATTTTACCAGATTTTCGTGAAAAAAGCTACTCAACATAACTCATAAAAGTAATGTTGAACGCAGATTGATTAGCATTGGATAAAATTTAATTCAATCTGAAAACATGGATAAAAAAGCTACGAATCTTCTTAAAGGATACATCACGTATGATCGCAGTTTCAACAAGCGCGTTCTTGCAGCTGATACTGAGATACATGAAGCTTATAAAATAGCTCAAGAAAGGGGAGCACTTCCTTTTAACAGAACCAAGATACTTATTCTAGGTGACCACGCTGCTGGAAAGACTTCAACATGCAGGCGTTTACAAGGAAAGGATTTTCGAAATGATGAGGCTAGCACCGTAGGGATCGAAACCAATACTGTCAAAGCCAAAGTTTGTGATGTTAACAGTAGTTGGTGTAAAATATTAAACACACCATTAGAGGATTATGAAAGTTCAGCAGCATGGTGGGCAGTATCACACGTGCGCAAACGCGATATGAAGAAAGCCACCAAGGATGGCAGCACGCCAGAAGTAAATTTAAAGGTCACATTAGGGCAAATAGTTGAAGATATCTTCTATCAAATAATACACAATATTCCCATCATAATTACGTTTCTAATCGGTGGTTTTACTTTCGGATTTGGACTGTTCGTATGGACCTATATTGTTTGCTTGATGTATATATTCGATGTTCACACGGCGTACCGCTTCGGTTCCGGATACGCAATTGGAATGGTACTCATAGACAGCGCAATGGGTATAGAGGAAACTTACACGGAATTACAAGACAGTGAATTGGATTTATGGTTCAATATGTCTGCTGTCATGATGGCTTTCATGTATGGATTAGTTGGCCTAATTACTGGCGTGCTTATGGGCTCAGGTGGCAGGACTGGAGTATGCATAGCATTATGTATAATGGTTCATCCTAAGCAGAAAACCTTTACCATCGATAATGTCACAGAACAGTTATTAGTCATCTACGGTAAAGCGTATTACAACTTGATAATTTGCATCATTGCACTTGTTTTTATTTTGATATTTAAACTTGTTCACGCTAGGATGTTAACAATGAGTCGAAGGAACTTTTCACTTGTAATATTTAGTGCTACTATTTTCATTACAGCCGCAACCTTTATCATAAGGCCTTGTTTTCTAAGCATATTTACTACTTCGTATATTGCGGTAATCGTGAGTTGTACATCAGTCGGGACAATTTTGGGAAGAAAATCTGTTGCCTATGGATATATCCCTCAAATCTATATTTTCAAAAAAACTGTTGGTTTTATGGCTGGAATATTTATAGCTGTTGTTTGTGGATGGGAACTGGCAGACGTGAGAACTCTGAGATTAGATGATTCACAATATGTTTCTACTCCACGACATTTGTTTAACTTATTGCTCTTTTTCACCCCATTCATTGCATTTATTGCATATGAATTGCACGCATATATGAGAGTGAGAAATACAACATCCATACCTATACATCATGTCAGACAATCAATGAAAGCAAGTATTCGTAACGAATCTTATTTAGATGCTAGGCTCAGTCTATGGGACTTTGCAGGGCAAGATATGTACTACAACACACATCACCTCTTCTTGTCAAAGCAGGGTGTGTATCTCGTTCTTTTCAACGCCGTTGAAGCTGTTTTGAATCCTGAGAAACAAATTCAACGGCTACAATTCTGGTTGCAATCAATTGCTATGCATGCTGAGGTTGAAAATGTTGTAGTTTTTCTTGTAGGAACAAGACGAGACAGTGTTAACGACACGAATGCTCTTATGAGTTTTTTAACACTTGCAAAAGAACATCTCTACATACGGTTTTCTACGTTGCTTGCATTTCATCCATCTGGAAGCCTTTTCTTTTTAATCGAAAACGCTTTACAAGTGGACTACCAACGAAATATTTTACGAGCGGCTATCTATGACGAAATACAGAAACTAACGTTTTTTCAGGAAACATTTTCCGTAAAATATCTTTTATTTAATGAATCTTTAAACAAGTTCCGCCTACAAAAATGCATTATTACGAAATTAGAAGAAATTTCAGAAGAAGTAAAATCAAGATGTAATATAACGTCACAGAACGAGTTGCGTCAATTCTTAAACTTCTTTGATAGATCTGGTGACGTTATATACAACGAACGTGATGAGATACTCAGAAAATTCGTCATTTGTGATCCTCAAATGCTTGTTGACATTTTGCAGTATTTGGTAAATGTGCCTGCACCTCATAAGAGAAATCGGACAGTAGCTGACTACTGGCAGAGATTGAAAGACACAGGAATCGTTGATAGTAGATTGCTAGAGCATATCTGCCGACAAAAAGGAATCTGGACGCTTTACCCTTATGTTATTCGTTTCTTAGTGGGGACACATCTACTTTTCCCTCTTAATGTTACTGATCAAGTCGACCAAGTCGGAACATTCCTTCTTTCATGTCAACTGCCGAAGATCACTTTGATGTCATCTATATGGAACAGGAATGATTGTTCCCAAACTATCTTTTATATTGACTTTGGAGAAATCATTCCTGAATTTATTTTTTTGCGTCTCATAGCTAAATGTTGTGAAATGTTTACTTGGGATAAGATCTACTACAATGCAGCAAGATTCAGGATTAGCAAATCCTGTCTTTTTGTTATTAGCACAACAGTCATTTTTGGAAGCATTAATTCATACGATCGGAATCTGATCAAAATCGCTGTGCACAATGAAGACCATGCAGAGTTTATTAATGTTGTACAGAAAATGATAAATTTTACTGAAGAGATAATCAATCGGGATTTCAATCCGGACTACTTTCAAAATCAGTATATTTATGGTCCTGAATGCGAACAGTGCAGTTTGTTAGATGGAACAATGTGTTTGGTAAACCTCATAACACCAGGGAATGATATGTCTTCTTTGGACGGCTACAAGCCAGACCATTACCATAAGCTTACGTTTGAGAGAAAGGTAGGTCTATGTTACTGCAATATAGACTTACTATGTGTTCACTCGGTGATGGGGCTTTTACTGTGTACACAGAGTGAACACATAATGAAGGTGTGGACAAAGTGTTAACACGGTGTCAACGTCGTTCCACACTGTATTCGCACCGTGGATACACTTCAGTCAACACACTGTTACTACAGTATGTGTTCACTCTGTGTACACAAAGTGCAAACCTCACTAATTCCGCAAAAAAGTCAATAGCCAGCACTAAGTGTGAACACATAGTCTTCCACTCTGTTGCACTCCGTGACATTTTTCTAAGGGTGAACTTCATATCAATATACGTTTGCTCTTCCCAATAATGAGTGAACACATGCTTCCACTCTGTTGCTCTCCGACATTTTCCAAAGGGTGTACTTACACGTCATTTTATGTTTGCTTTCCTCAATTATGTTACCTTGTAGAACAACAATTATTTTTATCTAAATATTTTATGCCATCATAATATTTGTCTTGCTAATCCACAACAGTAACTAATTATTTTTCTTTATTTCACAGTTCAGTTTAACGTGCAGTCGACTAATGAACAATTAGGTCTGGATATCTTGCTAGCTCTCCATTTAAAGAAAAAACTCATTGCAGTTGTGTTCATTGTTAGTACGTACAGCGGGGTTGCCGCCGTTCTGGTTGTCTTTCTCTGATGCTCTTGTCATATTACTATAAACTCATATAACCATCACTTCCTTGTGGAAAAGGAAGTATTGTACATATAAACACTGTAAATGTAAAATTGTATCTTATTAAAATGCTAAACAAAAAAAAATTCCTTAGATTTATCTAATAATTAATAATTTTTGCTTGATCTAATCATTGAGGTTTAAACATTTCTTCATGGTCTAATTGAGTGTGTTTATGCCAGATGCAATATTTGGCATATCATCATAACAGACAGTTTCATGTACACAACACTACAATTACCATCATACCCCCTTCACTGACTTGCAATGCCCATAATATCATGTATCTTATATGGTGTACCGTATGTGCAGGGGTATGTACATTTAGACAAATGATGAATAATCACAAAAGCTCTATAAGACACAAATGTAATTTGTAAAATGACCTAGACACACCAATAATGATATGAGATGCATCATTGTAGAAAGATGTTTAGAGATTAAATAGATTTTGAAACTTAGGACTTATAAAATATGAGCTAATAAGGACCTAAGTTTCGCTTCAGGCCCCAAATTCACCAAATATAGTTTAGTTACTCTATTGAAAGTTTATAAACTTCTGCTTTTATTTATCAGTGATCGCCACTATCTTTCATAGTCATTTTTTGCTTAATTATTCCCGTCCCATTCGATAATCGGTCATTGTTTCCCTTGTAGGTATCTTGTACAGGGCAAGAATGTTCCCTTATTGCCTACTACCAGACTCTTTACATTCAATTTTAGAGTGAAATAATTATGAATTATGGTAATTATCTCCATTACTTAGATGTGAATGCTCCTCTTCATTTAGGCTCTATTCATTGTGACTTTCATCGTGTATAAATACAATACCCTTCATGGCCTCCTTATCGTTATCACTGAATTGTTAATTGTTTCTATATATTATACTGTTGTTGTCATGTGTAATAATAATGATGATGATAATAATTATGATGATGATAAATAATAATAAATGATAATAATATTGATGATGATAATAATAATAATAATAATAATAATGATGATGATAATAATAATAATAATAATAATAATAATAATAATAATAATAATAATAATAATAATAATAATAATAACTAGACTTACTATGTCTGTTTGAACAACAGAACCTAGGGCTTTTCCTCATTGTTTTAATGAGAAATGAAGTTGAAATTGAAACAAAAAGAAAAGTCATTAAAATGTATAAAGTAAAAATACACGGAAAACCAATATAATAGTCTGTTGTCTTATGTAGAAAAAACAAAATTTTGGGTAGATTCTTGACAATTATGTTAAAACAACTCTAAAAACACTACTGATTAAGAAAAAAGTTGGTGCCTTGGGCCTCCATTTTGAAATTCAAAATGGCCACCTTTTTTAATCGAGTTATTGGTATTAAAGATTGTTTTAAACATTGTAT